GGAGGGGGTTGGACAGAGGGAATCCCAGCCTCCTCTGGGAGAAGGGGGCCTAGAAGAGACACCAAGGTTAGGAGGGGCAGGTGGTCCAGAACCAAGCAGGAAGGGCCTGGGGTGGAAAGGAGGCAAAAGAGGAGAGGGCTCCCCTTTGGCCACTGACTGAAAAAGTAAGAAGACAGGGAGGCCACCCCTCCCCTGAGGAGTGAGAGGAAGAGGGAAGCTGCCTGTGCCCACTTCCCCCAATTATGGGCAGTGGTAAACACCTTCTCCCCTACAGAGTAGCCCCCTGGCTGCCCTTCTCCACCAGCTAGCAGAGCCCCAAGGTGGGCCCAAAGCTAAGGGGTCCAAGAAGGTGGGGGGATAGCTAGGCCCTGCAGGGCTCAGAGATCTTTCCTGGGACCTGAGCCTCCCCATACTCAGAGCAGGGTGGGAGACAGCTGCCTGGGAACCAGGAGCTTCCCTCTTCTTCATGGGGGGGGAGGAGGCTTTGGGGAGACTGAGGGAGTACAACACACCCCCGCACCCAGGAAGTCACCCCTTTCCTCCCAGGGCAGCAGAATGCCCTCCATGCCCCTCCCCCAACCTCTGGGGAAAGTCGGCAGTTCTCTCCCAGGGAAGGGAGGTCAGGCCAGGCTGGGGGTGGGGCTCTGGAGGCCTGGCCCTGGCACCCGGCAGAGGAAATTCCAGGCTGTAACTCCAGGCTGCCTTTAGGGCCGCCCATCCAAGTGACATGCAGCACCTCAAGAGTGCTAGTACGGGGGCGTCCTCCACTGAGACCCTCAGCTCCCAGCCTCTGGCTACCTAGCCCTCCAATGGGCTCTAGCCCCAGCTCTAGTAGATAAAGGACAGGACCTGGGGAAACTTAGGACTCTCTGGGCGAGCCTCCACCAGCCCCATCCTGGCCCCTTGGCCACTCAGAGCCTCCTTTTCCCAGATCCCCGGGGGGCAGCCCCTACAGTGTGGCTAAGGGTGGGCAGCTGCCAGAGCTGGCAGGCAGGGGCACAGATGCCAAACTACAGCAGCCGGGCGCTCAACAGGTTGAGCCAGTCCCTGGAACAGCCAGCCCCACCCCAGGGAGAGCGGGCCTGGCAGAGGCTCCCTGCCCGCGGCACCCAGCCTGTACCCGCTTGGCTCCCACGGCTGCCCACTTTCCCACGGTACCATCCCCCTCTGCCCCCTCCCCCCCGGGTCAGCACCCGGGCAGCGCCCAGGGTTCCTGGAGTAAGGAAGGGATGCCATTTCCCCGTCACCCCTGGATGCCAGGCTCTTGGGGTGCCTCACTACCAGCAACCAAGGAGCCCCAGAAGAGCAAGCATGGCATCAGGACAACAAGAACTCCAAAGTGCCCCCCACCTCCTTGCAGGCTTTTCCCGGTCCTGGGGAGACAGGACACTCAGACACCCTGGCTCCCTGCAGCTGCCCCGTCCCCTGGGCGCTGGGGCAGAAGTTCAGCCTGTGGCGCCAAAGGCAGTGTGGGGGTGCCCCCAGCTCCTGTCTCAGACTCCCTGGAGAAGGGGCTGCAGAGCTGGGTGACCGCTGGCCCCTTCCGCTCTTGCCAGAGCTTCTGCTACCTGCAGTGCTGGTCCCTTCCTTCCACCCCACTCCTGGGCTCCACGGAGCTCCGTCCCAGCCACTCCCCCACAGGCAGGCATCCCCCCTTTGCAGGCATCTCCTTTAATCTAAAGCAGGTGCCAGGCATTCCAGCCCTGGCTGAGTCGACATTGCCACCCACTAGGCCTCTGCCCAGAAGGCTACTGCCCTGCTCATTCATGGAAGTCGAGTCCCCAGCCCAGGGCTCCCACTTAACCCAGGTACCCAGACACTGGGGTGGGGGCGGGGGGCGGGAACTCCCCAGACAGGCACGGGCGCCCAGCACAGGTTCAATAAGCAAGTTCACTGGACCCCACGTTACCACTGCTGTGCTGGCCCCAGATTTCTGTGGACCACCAATCCCTCTCCAGGACTCTGTAATCTCTTCCTGCCTTGACCCTCAACCCCAGTAGTTAAAGACTCCTTTTGAACCTCCACATGGACCTCCACAACCCATCTCCAGCCATAGGGCCCCTGCTATCCCAAGCATAAGAGTTACTCTGGATCTAAGATTATGCCATTCTATCCCTGACCAGCACCTTCGGGAACATTAAGCTCCCCTTCCCCTAATCAAGAACAACACAGGTAAGCAGAGAACCTCTGGAGGGAGGCGGCGAGAACCAGACCGGGTTCTCCAAGGCCAAGGAGCCTGATCTCTTAGGGGAGTGAGCACCTTCCTCCCTTACCAGACTTCCTCGGCCCCTCACCTTCCTTGCCCATTCTCACTGGGTCCTGAGGCTTCTATCAGCAGACAATTCACAGATGACACCAGAAAGACAGGGCCTAATCACGCTCTTCCCCTGGGGCCACGAAAGCATGGTCTTGACCCAGAGAAGGCGAGATGGTGCTGGGGGTTGTGGGGGGCAGCAGAAAAGCCAGGCCCAACAGAAGTGGCTGCTTGCTGGAGAGGCTGAGGAGCAGGGAGAACCGGGGCCGTGGAAGCCCAACCACCCTGGAGGTCTCACTCAGAGAGCTGCCCAGAGGCATCAGTAGGATTCCAGCTGATACAGTGTGCAGACAGCTTTCCTAGGTAAAACAGGAAACCAAGGCCAAAGATCAAGTGGGCCTCAAGCCCCCTATCCCATGGCTCAGTCACATGCCCAGCTCACCTTTCCCAAGCAACACTTTTTCTCTCTGCAGCAGAGCACCAACCCCCCCCCCCCCACACCCAGACACAGACACACACCCCAAGCAGCAGACAGACTGAAGGAGGAGGGAGGAGGGGTGTCAGAAAAACCCGGAAGGAAGGAGGCTGGACAGACAGACAGAAGCAGATCCTGGCTTCACTGCTCCAGAGAGACACCCTCCAGACTCCCAGACTGTGAGGGACACTCTCTTTCTCTGCTCCCAAGAGGGAGAAGGCGAGAGTAGACTTAGTGTCTCCTGAAACCAAATTCCAGTAGCTCTGGGATAGGACATACCCCCAGACAAGTGAGAAGCCCTAAGCCTCACTTCTCTTCCCCATATTCATCCCCCACGGTCTCCGGGGGGACCAAGGCAGAGGGAGCCTCCCCTTAGCAGAGCAGGGACACCTCCAAGGAACTGTGCGACTGCCCCACCCCCCAGCCAAGCCCACACCACTGAGAATCCTTGGCCGGGAGACTCCTCCAGTCACAGCCCCTGCTGCACCTAGGCACTGCTTGGGGGCAGAGGGTAACCCCAGCAATCCCCAGTCCCAATGTACCTCTTTCTGGAGGCTCCCATTAGCCAGGGGAGGAGTGCTGGGGTGCTGAGACCCAAGGGGTTGGTGAGCCTGGGAGGGGGACTACATCTCCCAGAAGCCCCCAGGGCAGGGTTGCTGCTCCAGCTGGCCCAAGGCCGGCCTTGTTCTCTGCGCTAGGGTGGCAGGGTCCCCTGATTGCCCCTAAGCCCTCCCCCCTGAGCTCTGGGGCTGCCAACCTGATTGGGGGCCCAAGAGTAGCCACCACAAACCCTGAGGGCGTCCCCCACCTCTTAAACGGCCTAGGGGTGCGTGCCAGAGGGCAACAATCAGACTGTGTTCCCCCTTCCCAGTTCGAACTGGATCTCCCTCCTCGCGCCTCTGCCTGCCTGGCATGACTTTCGCCCTCGGCCCCAGCCCACCCCTCACCTCGCGCCGGTCGGGGGTCCTCACGCCAGGCCGGAGCTGGACACCATGACCAGGTCAGGGTCGGTGACTGGATTGGGGTCCTCCGGGTTGCCAGTTGGAGGTGCGGAGGGGGGCGGGCAGGCGGTGATCTTTTGATGCTGGATGCCTTGATCTCAATACCAGCCCGGGCCGGGAGAGGGTATCCGGGGGTCTCTGGGCGCCTGGGTTCCTGCCTCCCAACCGCCGAGCATGGTCTTGGGCGCCGGACACCGGCGGGAGAGCGTGCACACCCGCCCGGCCCGGGGCTCGGGGCTGGGGTCTCGGCCCCGAACCTCAGGGCTCCGGCTCCTGCTCCTCCTCCCTTCCTTCCTTCCTTCCTTCCTTGCTTCCTTCCTCCCTTCCTTCGCCTCCTCCTTTCACTTTCCCCGAGGCCCGCGGGGACGGCGGGCGCGGGGCGGGGAGGGGGCTGTCTGGGCGCTTATTGTTGGTCGGACGCCGAGGGTCCGGGTCGCAGCCCCCGGGCGGCGCGGCGCCGGGGGACCCAGGCGTGCGGGCGTCCGTCCGGCTGGCTCCGGGCGGCGGCGGTGGTGCAGCGGCCCCGGGTCCGGGGCATGTCCGGCCACTGGCTCCGCCGCGCGCCGCCGCCTCCCCGGGCTCCCCTGCGCTGCCGGAGCCTCGCTCGCCCCTCCACTCGGCTCCTCTCCCCAGCCTGAATAAGCATCGGGGCTCTCTGGCTGCCTCCTTCTGCCTTCATACCAGAGCCCGGAGAGGCCCCTGTCAAAATAAGAGCTCCCCCATCTCGCTCGCCTCCTCGCCCAACCCGGCTCCCCCAGCCTCCCAGTGGTCTGACTCGGTAAGGCGCCCGGCCGGCTGGCTAGCGGGAGGCAGGTTGGCCCGGGGGCGGGGAGGGGGCTTCTACCCTTCTCTCCTCCCCATTCCTGAGGACTGGGCACGAGACGCCCCAACAACATCCCAGGCAACAGAGATTTGACAAACCTACCCTCCAATCTACACTGATTGGAAGGAGTGGGAGTTGCCTGGACTTCCCGCAACCCCCAACACACACACACACACACACACACACACACACACACACACACACAAATATTGGGTCCCCTTTTCACTGTACCCACCCACATTCATTATGCACTGAGCATCTCTTTATTCATCTTTCTTTCCTAGTAGATCATGAGGTCCTTGAGGACATAGACTGAGTTTTTTCATCTCAGTCCTCAGCCCAAAGTGAATGCTAAGAAAATGTTTGTGGAAGCAAAATCTTTGTCTTCGCAAAAGAACTCTCTCCTAATCTCAAAGTGCTCCACGCGTGGGCGCACGTGCACACACACACACACACAAGGCCCTATAGGAGGATAGATGCAATGAAAAAGAAATTGTAAAGCCCTTTTAAAAAGCATTTCACCAATGTGATTTCGGTGTTCACCACAAGCCCATGAGAAAGATGTTATGGCCCCATTATATCGGTGAGGAAACTGAGACTTGCATTTGTTAAGGACCTCCTCAGGTTTATACGGCTAGAACGGCTAGAACGTGAGAAGCCCAGAAGTGGAATTCAGGTCTCCTTATCCCAGGACACTTTCCCTGTATCCCCCTGCTCCCACCTAAAATTAATACCAACAAGTAACAAGCATGGGCTGCTTCAGAAAGAAGACCAGCAAACCTGTTTGCTCCTGATATTCAGTTCCACTGCCCTCTCTCCTCCCCTTCGGATAGATGGTCCCCAGATAGCTCTAGTTCTTACAGACCGCCCTCTCTCCTGACTACCTCTCCTTACATCTATGCCACTCAACTGAGTGCTTACTTAACGTTTTGTTTCTCCTGTATATATGTTTGGTTGCCCCAAAAGATTGAGGGCCCAGACCATGCTTTCTATGCCTCTACATTCCCCACAGCACTCAAATGCTGGGCTCATAGCAGGGCTTTCGTAAACACTTATTTGGTGGGTTGATAGTGCCAGCAGCTGGGGCCTGGGCAAGGTCTGAGGAGGCACAGGTGGAGATGAGGGAGAAACCCTCAAAAACAGATAACCCCTGTGTGAGCCTCACATCGGTTTACAAATCATTTTCATGCACATTATCTCTAGATCATGTTTTGATCCAATCAACAAAACTTCCCCAAGTGCCTACTAACTGCTGTGCCAAACACCAAGCTGGGTCAGGAGTTGAATCATCACAACCTCATGAGGTAGGTATTCCCACTTAAAGGAAAAGAAGACTGAAGCCCAGAGAAACTGGGCTCAGGTTTGAAAGATCCTAGAGCCTAGGCAGTAGGCTATTTCCTCTCCTCTCTCCAGGGTCCTGTGGATATACGTGAGCCACCAAGGCAAAAGGGCCATTTCTCAAACAGCGTGCTGGTTAGAAGGAAGGGCCCACCCCATTTGTGTGGATCAGTCTCCCCTTACATACATGACAAACCACATGGGCTTGTTATGATCCGTTTGGCACAATGCCCGGTTCACAGGAGGTCCAGAAAACTGTTCTCAGGAGTGAGAGCTGTGTTGTAAGAGGTCTGTTAAATGGGGTACACAGTAAGTTCAAGCGTATTCGGCATGTCCTGTGGAGCAGCCATGTAGAGCGCTCCCCTGGGTGGGGCTGTGACTCATTGCCCCAGCGTAGGTTCCAGGTCGGGATGCGGAGCTGAGCTCCGAGCAGCCACGAGTTCTGGGTGGAACCCTGGAGCGAGCGAGGAGAGGAGAGGGGCCGGCGGCCCACTGCCGGAATCGAGCGGCTCCCTCTACTGGCGAACTCGGGGAATCACCAGGTGTTTCCGTGTATCTGTGTGTCACCGTGTCACGAGGAGTGTCACAGGTGTGTCAACGAGTGTCGCTGGAAGTGCCAGCACGGGTAGAGGTGAGTGAAGGTGCCTGCTCATGGAGCAGTGTGGGTGCGACAGTGCCATGCGGGCCTGTCTCTGCAACCACAGAATGTACACACACAACCGTATCATGGAATACAATTTACTTTGGGGCTGGAGGCGGAGGGGGAGTGAGGAGGGCGGCTCTAGGGCTGCATATTATCTGAGATTACCTCGTGAAGTGATTAGGACGAAAGTCGGTTCCAGCTGAGACTCCTCACCAACCCCATACCGATGGGAGGAATTCAGGACTGAAGAACAGTTCTTGGGAAGGCACTCTATCCCCTAAAGGAACTGACGACCCAAGAAAGGGTTAACTTTGAGCCCTACAGTGGCTTCAATCATTGGCTCAGAGCACTGTCAATCAGAGTTCTGGGGCGGGGTTCTCGGGCCGCCTGCGGACTGCCCAGGGCCCCTCGCTTGCCCCTAGACCCCCACATCATTTCACTTCTGGGCTGCGCCCACACCCCTATCTTGGTGGAGACACCTTCCTGGGCCTGGAGGAAGAGCAGATCCGGGCATCCTGGCTTCCCCACTCACTCCAGCTGCCTGGCTTCCTGATAGATGGTGATTATTATATAATAGACCTGCTGGACAGAACCGTGCCAGCGCTCGGAACACTTTGCCCCCTCCTCGAAGCGTGCCCCAAGGTCTGGCACCAGCCGCACCAGAGCCCGCTGCCCAGCTCTGCCGGCTCCCCCAGCACCACCTCCACCCCCGGGCGGGAGACCCCTGGGCCACCTTCCCCGGTGGACCTGGGGCCACGTCTTGGGATGGGGCGGGCGCCAGGCTGGGAGTCGGGCGGGCGCCCAGCAGGTCTCAGTGTCGGCCTGCAGAGTTTGGCTTTACCAGCGCCTCGCCGGGATTGTGGGACCCACCTGGCTCCTCGAACCTGAACTTGGAACTTGGGAGCCAAAAGAGGTGGGGATAGGGGGCGCAGGGGCCAGGGTGGAAAGGGAAAGAAGTTTGGGGAAGGTGCGGGGGCAGGAAAAAGGAGCCTGGGTGAGGGGGCCGGCAGGGGCAGTGGGGGAGGGACTCTTATCCTGACAGGGCTCCCGCCTTCCCCGACTGGAGGGTTTGGAAAAACTGAGCAGGCAGCCAAGGCTTGGCTGGAAATCCTGCAGCCCACCCTCCTGGGGACACAAAGCTGGAGGGCGGAGGCAGGGCGGGGGAAGAGAGCACGACCCCGGGGAGGGCAGGGCCTCTTTTGGGGCTGGGGGCCCAGGGGCCAGGTCCCTGGGGAGGGGGTTCCTGGCGCTGTCTCCCTGCAGTCTGTTGCCCCCTTCTCCTCCACTCCCCCTCTCCTCGCCCCCCCTCCTCCCCCTCCGCGGCTCCAGTCTTGCAGATTGCGGGCAGACTTAACTCCTTGAGTGCCAGCCTGGTGGACTCCGAGGTGGTGACGCTGGGAGGGAGGGAGGAAGGAAGGAGGAGACTCCGGACCCCACTCCCACCACTGTTTAACACCTTGTGGCCCGGAACGCAGTCTCGGGATCTGGGCTGGTCAAAGCCCTGGAAGGTTGCCTGGTACTCGAGGAGAGATACACAAAACCCGGCACCCGAGAGCTGCGTAATCTGGCCCATTCTGCTGCCAAATCTTAACCGTCTACACTCCCGCCACCCCAGTCCTCTGTGTCTCTCCCTCCACTCTTCGGTCGCCCTCCCCCCACTACCCGACCCACCAGTCGTTACAAAGGTCCCCGGCCGACAGAAGGCTCGTGAGAACCCGGAAGTCTGGGTTCTGTGGCTGCCCCAGCATTCTCTGTATCCTCTGTGAGGCCCAGCGCGGGTGACCACAACCCGTGCCTCTTTTGCCTCCAGGGGGCTCCTTCACCTTTCAGCGGAGGTAGCTGCCCAACTGAGGCAGGGAATGGTAGCCTCCGCCAGCCCCGGCTGGAACAGGGGCCTGAGTAACTGGAAACCTTGACTTCACCTCCACCCTAGCCCCTTTCTCGGGCAACACCCCCTGCGCCATCAGATTTGCCTTCCAGTTCGGCTCTGAATGACTCTGCCCGAGCAAAGTAAACCAGGCCAGGCAGGAAGGGGTTAACGGAGCTAGCCGACTCCGTGTGAGAGCCAGGTGAGGCACCGCCCATCTTGGCCCTCAGGTGTGTGTGGGTGGGGACGTGGAGAGACACCGACCTAGGGGCTGCTTTTTTTGCCCCCTGGTGGCTAGATCTGGCCTAGCAGTTGCAGGCGGAAGCTGCGCGCCGCGCCGGTGGGGATGGGTGCAAAGACTTTGCAAGACAGTTAGAGGACTCCTCCTGCGCGAAGAACACTTCCGGAGGGAAAGAGAATCCTCTGGGAGAGCTCGTGGAAGCAGGGAACTCCCACAGGCCCTGCCATGTCCCCCTCACTCAGCGGGCTGCCTCAGCCACTTCCAGATCTTTGCCCTCGGGGATTCCAACTCGCGGGTCTCAGGTGCCCAGGGACCTGGAAGAGGGAGGGGGGAATGAAGACATAGGCTCTGTCTCAACCTAATAGAGGAGGTCAATCGCGGGGCGCTGCTCCTCACCTTCTTTTTCTTCTTGTGCCCCCAGCCTTCCCAGAACTCCCATTCCCTCTGGACCCCAGCATCATATTCAAACCGGTAGTCAGGCTTCGGAGCTCCTACCAGCTACCCTGGCACACCTCAGCTTCCCTCCCCTCCAGCCAAGTGGCCCTCTGGGTTTCTCCTCATAAAAGAATCCCTCTTGAGGGATTCTAGGTGCTCACAACCGCTTCCCCTTATCCCCCTCAGGGCTTGAGACCCTTCCTCCCCCTCCACCCCAAGCCCTTCCAGGTTATTGAAGGCCTTGTTCTTGCGGGCTTCCTTTCTTCCTTCTTTTTTGCTGTTCCTTTCAGCTGGCTCACTTCCCTCCCTCTCCCCATTTCCCATTATCCTCTAAGACTTACTTTCTTGCTTGCTTGCTTGCTTGCTTGCTTGCTTGCTTTCTCTTTCTTTTTCATGTTTATTTATTTGTTTTGGAGAGAGAGAGACAGAAAGTGCATGCATGGAAGGGGCAGGAGGGGCAGAGAGAAAAAGAGAGAATCCCAAGCAGGCTCTGAGCTCACTGCCAGAGCCCAACTCATGACCTGAGCCCAAATGAAGAGTCAGGCCGACTGAGCCACCTGGGCGCCCCAAGAATTCCTTTTTCTGTGGGCACTTCATGCACACAGGGACCCTGACTGACTCAACATTTCCCTTTTCCTCCTGGAATCTTTCTCTGACCAACCCATGGACTTATTCATTCAAAAACCATTTTTCAGGACCTACTATGCACTGGGCACTGGATGAGACGATGAGTATGTGTTGGGGAACAAGACAGATGTGTCACCCTCAGAGCCTGCAGTCTAGGTGGGGACGGATAAGTGAACAAGTGATCTCAGTTCATTGTCATGAAGCCTTGGGGAGCATCTCGGAGAGACACCTATCCTGGACTTGGGAGTCTGGAAAGTTTCCGGCTTGGGAGCAACATCTGAGCTGAGACTTACTCTAGCCTAAGGTGTGGTTCCGCCCAGGTGAACAGTACATCTCACTGGAGGCCTAAAGATAGAACAAGATTCCAACAAGGGACCTCACCAGATGTTATGGGGGGGGGGGGGGGGGGGGGATCACAAGGGCTGCCCCCCCAAAAACCCCATTTTTTTTTAAGAATTTTTTTTTTTTTTTTTTTTGGGCGCCTGGGTGGCTCAGTCAGTTGAGCTTCCGTCTTCGGCTCAGGTCACGATCTCACCGTCTGTGAGTTCGAGCCCCGCGTCGGGCTCTGTGCTGATAGAGATAGACAGCTCAGAGCCTGGAGCCTGCTTCGGATTCTGTGTCTCCCTCTCTCTCTAACCCTCCCCCACTCATGCTCTGTCTCTCTCTGTCTCAAAAATAAAATAAAACATTAAAAAAAATTTTTTTTAAGATTTTATTTTTTATTTTTCTGACTTTGAGATTTTATCTTTTAAGAGCCCACAACCCCAAGATCAAGAGTCGCACGCTCTACCGACCGAGCCAGCCAGCTCTCCCCCAAACAACCTATTTCTAATAAATTTTCCAAGTCCCAAAAGAGGACTAACCTGAGAATCTAGAGTATGTGACCTTGGCCTAGTCACACCCAATCTCTGGGCCTTAGTTTTTTCAAATGGAAATCAAGAGGGTTGGAGTTTATCTTCAGGCTCTTTATCAGGAAGATAGCAATTAAATAGAAGGCTTGGTTAGTTAAGAGAGAAATACTCACTTAGCTCTGGTGGGCTTGGGGAGGGATAGCAGCATTCAGAAGCCCAGGAGAGGCTACCACAAGCAGGGGCCCAGAGAAAGCCACCTCCTACCCCTCACCGTACACGTTGACTGGCAGGTTTTTTTTTTTTTCCTTCAATGTTTAGTTTAATTTTTTTTATAACAACGTTCATTCATTTTTGAGAGACAGACTGCGACGGGGGAGGGGCAGAGAGAGAGGGAGACACAATCCCTAGCAGGCTCCAGGCTCTGAGCTGTCAGCACAGAGCCGGACGTGGGGCTCGAACTCACAAACTGTGAGATTGTGACCTGAGCTGAAATCGGACATTTAATCGACTGAGCCACCCAGACACACCCTATTTATTTTATTTTTGAGAGAGAGAGAGAGGAGAGAGAATCCCAAGCACACTCCACGCTAATCAGCACAGAGTCCGACATGGGGCTTGAACTCACAAACCTGTGAGATCATGACCTGAGCCGAAAACATGAGCTGGCCACTTAAACGACTGAGTCACCCAGGAGCCCCATAGCCTGGCAGTTCTGAGCGCTGGGAACATTTAATTTCTGCCATCAACTGAAGGCAAGAGCCTTTCTAAGACGGTGCTGGGAGGAGCGAGCATGGGGGCAGGGAGCACACATAGGATACATTTAGTTGCTGCATTAATTTGCTCTCAAGTGTAGCACTCCAGAGCTTTTGTTTTTAAGAGATAGAATGTTCGCAAGTAAGGAAACTGAGGCCCAGAGTGGTGGAAGGACTTGCCCCACACCACGTGGCTGGTGAGCAACGGCTAGAAGCGATGCCCAGGCCTCCTGATTCCCAGTCCAGACCCTCTCCACCACACCACTGTAGCATTTGCTTCCAACTTTCCATTGGACTTCTTCCTGTGTCTGGCTCATTTCCCTGGGAGGCCACGAGATCTGGGAAGGCAGGCTTGGCCTTCTTATCTGGACATCCCCCAGAGCCTGGTGCAGAGCTCTGAACACAGGGAGGGGTGCCCAGATGCCCCAGGCACCCCCATTCCCCCTTTTCTGTCTCACCATGAGTCTCTTTACAGGCACGGATCTCTCTGGCCCAAGGGAAAAATGGCACCCTTGGATTGTGGACAACCCCCTGAACGAGGCATATCCTCAGTCCCAGCAGGGCCTAAAGCCTGCTCTGTGACTTCCAGAAACCGCTCTGTGATGGACTTCCGGGGGCCTTATTTTCTCCATCTGTCAAGACCCATAACCCCTTCTAATTGCTAGGGTACTTGGAACTTGAAGTCCCAGATGAGGAAATGTTTTTACAAGATGTAACTCTGAGGTAAGGGAAGAAGCTTCACGATCCAGTCTGTTTCGCAGAATCCCGCAGCCTCGGGACCCCGTCTGCTGGGACTAGGGTACCGCCTCACGGGGTGCCCACACCCTCGCACTGTGCTGGACCCCGCGGAAGTTGCAGGATACGAAACCTGAATCTATTCTGCGATCCCGCCACCTAATTTCCCACAACCAAAAATAATTTCAACAAGGAATCCCAGTTTTCACTTGTATCTCTTCGGGCTGCTCCGGTTCATAACCTACAACGCCGCTTGTTAAAATTCCCTTCCCCCTTTTCTGCTACACCTTGCAGCAGCTACCTGTCTCTCTGCCTCTCTCTGTCCTCTGGAGTCAACACAGCTTTTCTGCCTCTCTTTGCCCGATCTCTTCTCCTTAGCGTATGGACTGGCTTAGCCTGTCAGGCTTCATTATTTTCCATTTCTTTCACCCGTTACCCAGATTCTAACACACAAGGAAGCGGCTTGGTTCCTGCCTCCTGTTTCTCCCCGGCTATTCCTCCAGTTCTCTGTATCACAAAAGCCCTGGAACTGAGTGGGCCTAGACAAGATTTCCAACAACAGGTGAGGGATAAAATTATCCTGGGGTGGGGGCAGGGAGAGGGGAGGCAGAGGGAGGCTGAGAACAGTCAATGATGGATAAGTTTTGATCCTCTAACAGGCACCTGCCCTCAAGGAGCTTATGAGGTGGAGACAGTTAAAACACAATAAACGTTGCTAAATAATTAAAAGATGTGGACCTGATGTGATCAGCGCGGCATCCTCGGGGAGACCTGTGGAGAAAGAGGAGATTGACCTCAGGTCCAGGGGAGGGCAAGGGCTTAGTAAGGGGCACAGAAAGAAGAAAAGCAATGGAATCACAGATCTTGGTGGGAAGCGGCCTCAACAAAGAACAACTACCTAGTTCAGGTTCTTTCTGATGCTCAGCTAACAGCCCTGGCAAGCAGGGGATCAATCACCGTCTTCTTGAACGCCTCCAGCCGTGGGAAACTTACTGTCTCCCAAGGAAGCCAGTTCCATTTATGAACATTTGTGGGTTTTTTTTTTTAAGTTTATTTCTTTATTTTGAGAGAGAGAGAGAGAGAAAGAGAGAGAGAGAGAGAGAGCTTGTGCACCAATGGGGGAGGGGCAGGGAGAAAGAGAGAATCCCAAGCAGCCTTCATGCTGTCAGCACAGAGCCCCATGTGGGGCTTGATCTCATGAACCATGAGATCATGACCTGAGCCAAAGTGATGAGTCAGACATTCACTTAACCGACTGAGCCACCGAGGTGACCCTGGCTTTTGGTTTTAATTTAAGTAATTTCATATATTTAAAGTAAGTCTAGGCCCAACATGGGGCTTGAACTTACAACCCTGAGATCAAGAGTCATATGCTCTACTGACTGAGCCAGCCAGGCAGCCCTATGAATGAGCATTTGTTTTTCCTTCCTTTGAGCTGAACTCTCTCCCAGTGGTCTTTACTTATTAGTCCGCACACGCTACCTCCTCGGGTCACAAAATGTAAGACTAGTTCTTCCTCCTCATGATAACCCTTCACTTATTTGAGCTTCAATGACTCCTGACTCTTCTCCTCCTACCCAACCTAAATATTCCCAGTTCAATAAACCCTCACTCCCATGATAACACCTGGCCAACTTAGAGTCAAGCAAGGCTGTCAATCCTCTCCTTTATTCCAAATACCATATCTCTATTAATACGACCTACAATTGAATTTACTTTGGCAACCATATCATGCTGATGACTCAGACTGAACTTACTAAACCCCTCATTTCTGTGATTCTGTTTCACCCGAACTGCTTTTTCTTTTTTCTTTTCTTTTTCTTTTTTCTTTTTTTTTTTCACGTGAACTGCTTCTAAGCCTCACCATTGTACAATGCTGAGGTCTTACACGGACCTTTGATCATTTCATCTTGTTAAGTTGGCCTGACATTCTACACATGGAGACGATTGGGGGATCCTTATCTTGTCCTTCAAAGTGTTTACTATCCTTCCAGGGCTATATGTGTGAAATGTGCTACTACGTTTTCATATCAGATAATGATAAAAATATTTAACGGGACAGCGATGAAGACAAAACTCTAAATGACACAGTTGTCCTCCTGGTTGATACCGGTCTGTGTCACACTGAGACGATGATACATGGTTTTGTAGGTGGGATGGGGTCAGATGGTAATGAGCCTCCAACATGTAAAGAAAGAATAAGAAAATAGATTCAGAAGGTTTTTGAGCACAAGAGTCTTATGGAAACAGGTTGATGTAGCAAAAAATAAAACAAAACACCAACTTTGGAACTCTGTACATCTGAAGCTGAATCTCAGCTCGGTCGCTTTCTCGCTGTAGAACTTTGAGCAAATTACTTTAACCGCTCAGAACATCAATTTCTTCTCTTGTAGTATGGGATAACGCCTCCTCGACTGTGGCGATTAAGTGAGATGATATATATGAAAAGCCTCATACATAAAAGGCTCTCAATAAACTAAGAAGAAAAAGCAGGAGAAGGAAGGAGAGAAGAAAGTCGTGTTTAGAACAGGCTTAGTTTCAGCGGCGGGGGGGGGGGGCGGGCGGGGGCGGCAAATTTATGATAGGCCCAAGTAAAAAATCCAAGTGTAAAATGAGCCTCTGGTGAGGCCCAGATTGACTGCATGCTTGGTCTAGGGCAATATATACGAAATGGCGGAGCGCTGGAAGTGGATGTGGGTGACATTTCAAAAGGAGAAGTGATTCACCTTGGATTCTGGCTACGTGTGTGGAGAATGACAGAGAGGAGACACGGGAACACAGGGGAAATGGATTAGGGAAGAAGGGTTCAGGGGCGTCTGGGTGGCTCCAAGTGTCCAACTTTGGCTCAGGTCATGAACTCACGGTCCGTGAGTTCGAGCCCCGCTTCGGGCTCTGTGCTGACAGCTGGGAGCCTAGAGCCTGCTTCGGATTCTGCGTCTCCCTCTGTCTCTGCCCCTCCCCCGCTCATGCTCCGTCTGTCTCTCAAAAATAAGCCTTAAAAATTTAAAAAAAAAATAGAAGGGTTCGTGTTTAGAGTGGTGGAAGTTGGCAGGATAGTAGGACATCCCAGGGGGTATGACCAACGAGCGGGTGGAGAGATTTAAGGGGAACTGTGTGCAGAAGAAGTCAGAGGGAAGGTTAGGTGTTTCGGAAGCACCCTGGTAGCTGTAGCCATTGAGTCAGGTCTCCGAGGGTGAGGTGGGAAGGTGGGAATCGAACTGACAACAATAGCCTGCAGGACACCCCAGAGCCACGCTGATTTCCCTCCCCCACCGCCCCCACCTGTCAGAGCTGAACCGGAAAAACTCGACCTTACATTCACCTTTGCATCATGGGCCTCAGTCCAGGGCCCCTGGGACCCGAACCCTGTCCCTCTAGGCCTCTCTGCTTCTCGGCCCTGATATCAGAAGGACAGGAGTTCTTATCTGGTCAACGGACTCTAGCTTGTTGCTACAATCATGGGCTGGAAAAGGGAGATTTGGGAGGGGACCTGTAGAGAGAGATTTGGACGGAAGCGGGTGGGGACAAATGGAGAGCGAGTGACAAACACAGAAGCTGGGACAGGCAGGGCAAGGTGGGCACCATGAGTAGGTAGAAATGCGGGCTGATGGAGGAGAAAAAGAGAGACCGAAGGAGGGGGCAGAAAAAAAGATTTGCCGAGAAACTGATGAAGTGCAACTGAGAAAACTGTTGCCATGGTGACGGGTCCAGAGGAGGGAGTAGGAATATCAATCGGATTATGAGTTGGGGGAACGGGGAGGGGGTCGCTCAAGACCCAGAGGCAGCGCCCCCCACCCCCGCTGGCCGGCCCCAGCAGCCCTCCCGCAGCGTGAGGACCGCCTTCCTGAGAGGCCTCCCAGAGGCCAGCCGAGGGAGGACCGTGGGGACAGAAGCATGGGAGGGGCCCGGGGCTCTGGCACTTTCTCCCCTCCTCTCCAGCCTGGGCTGGCACAGATCTGTACCCCCCCCCCCCCACCTCAGCGTGCCTCACTGGCTCTGGGACAACCTGCTCCACCCACCCTACTTTCTGTCCTCCCCACGTCTTCCTCCTCGGAGCCCCCAAGTGAAGCGCGGGGAGGGGACTTGTGTTAAGAACCTACTGTGTGCCCCGCACGGTGTTGGGCACCTCGCGCCTTGTTTCATCCGGGGCCTCACCGCAGCCCCGTGGGCTAGGTGCGTCACCCCCACCGGCGGACAGGAAACCCAGACCAAGGCCCCAAGCTGGAAAGTGGCCGCCGCCGCCTAGCTGGCCCATCTGCTCCAAAGCCATTTTCTGTCCTCCGAGCCCCCTGCCTACCCTTGGCGGCCTGCTTTCCGCCCCCTCAGGCCAGGATGGGAGGTGCTGGGGGGAGGACCCGTTCAAGGCTCGAGCTCCATTCCTAGAGACAGAGAATTGGGGACACTTGAGGCAAATGTGCCACAGCCAGCCCGGCCTCCAGGCTAAGTGGGAGGCGCAGGGGAGCTCAGAGCTCAGAGCTCGGGGCTAGCGGAGTGGGGAGGAAGGGCTGAGGGGGAGAGGACTGCGGGGCTGAGGGGAAGCTCTGAGGCAGGCGTTTCCGGCAGAGCTGAGGAGAAACTTCCAGCAAGGCCCAGTGGGGAGCACTCAGGCTTGCAGCGTCTGAGCTGGTGAGTGAGTGTGACTGGGGGCTGGTGTTTGATTGCAGGTCCCTGCAAGTGGAAGTGGCTATGTGGTGGC